TGAAACAGTTAAATTTAGTTTACTAATGCTTACTATGTGCTTCAATTTTAGTATTAGATGCAACTGATGATGTAATACTGATTTAGGGAGCTATGAGCTTTAATTCATCTAGCAACTGATTAGCACGCAACTAAGATGATATCACCTCAATAGGCAACAAAATATTTTCATTTTTCTTCAATCAAAGCACATTTTTTAGAATTAAAGCACTTAAAATAAATTAAGACTTTGTCACCTTATAAAGCACTCTTTTAAATAAATTCTTCATTAAAAAAAAAAATATCTAGTCAATAAAGTACAATACCATAGAAGTGGATGGGTCTCCATCCCATCAGTTGTCTAACTCATTATTTTCGAAAAAATTTTGTCCATCAATTTAACTTGATAAATTTTGATGCATATTTGTGTCCTATTTACATAAACTAACTAAAAGATTGTTTCAGAACATTTTGGAATTCAGATTAAAATTAAATAAAAATATTCAAATGAAAAAAGTATAAAAATACATCCTTTTTTAAAACTTCAAAAGTATAGCCTTGTTTTAAAAAGTTATTTATTTTAAAATGATCTGTAGAAGTCAAATTTTCAATACATAAAAATGTTAAAGGAGAAATAACACGGGGTGAAGCAAGTGTCTTTTTTTATTATTTACGACTTTCTATTTTTTTTCAGTAACTTTGGAGTGTCAGTTTCTTATCTTAAATATACATATATAAATATTCATTATGAATGTGAAGAACCCAGACGTGTTTTAGTACCGTTTTACCGGTATGGCCATACCGGTATGGCCATACCGGTTTTTTGGGCGCCCAAATATTATTTTTATTTTGAATTTTATTTTTTTATAAAAAATAAAAAAAAAAATTAAAAAGAATTTTTTTATACATAACTACGTAACGTAATTTACCATCGCCCAGTGAAAAAGCGCACATGGGATACGCGTGGGTTTTTTCCATATGAAACCCATGTGGGGATTATTATTTCGTCCCATGTATGTTCCATATGGTAAATCCCACATTAGTTCCATATGGTAATTCCCACATGGGATACGCGTGGGTTTTTTCCATATGTAACCCATGTGTGGATTATTATTTTGTCCCATATGGGTTCCATATGGTAAATCTCACATGGGTTCCATATGGTAATTCCCACAGGGGATAC